AAATATATATATATATATATATATAAAATATCCGAATCAAAACAAAACAATATAATACAAAGGTTTATAGTGGTTAGGCATAAGAATGCCTACCAAACTTTTATTGATAATTTTGGAATACACGCCCAAACCCTCCAAACAATTTCTCTCACAAAATAAATTGATGAAGTCTTCGAGATATGAAATCGCTTAACGTAGTTAGATCCATGTTCTCCATCTTCAAATGCATAATTCACCATCTCCTCTTTCGTCTAGAGATCATGAGCATCATGCCTTAGTGATCGAGAGTCGAGCATGATCGCGATCATGTGGACAATTACACCGAGAATTTTAGACGTCATGGAATCGTGATGGGGGCGATTCGTTCTGCGATAAAAGTTTAAGAAAATTATCGTCTAATTGTCCTCGAGTTGAATCCCTCTTTAATGAATTCGTCATCGTCGTAAACCTTACAACTCATAACGCTGCTGAGGCTAGCTCGCCAGAGAGCTATTTGTGAACACGAGGGATACCTTGCTAGCAAGCTATCCGTGGTCATTGGTTGTGTGCGTGATCCGCTCATGTTGTGTTACCTCACTCTTTTTTCATGATTGAGCACGTAGCAGAAATGAAGATAAGAGTATTGTTAGTCATTTGAAATCTCCTCACAAATAACTTGAAGAAAAAGATAAGACTTAGCTATTAGTTTTTGTACGATGATGTGGAAAACTGACTTTAGTTTGGGAAAATTGAGGTATAAACCATAGCGCATACTTGGTCATAAGAGAACTTTAATATTACGTAACCTCTTGAACTTGTTGGGTATTGTTTAAGTCAATAATAGTAGAAAATATGAGATGAATAAGCGAAATTTAGAAGGGTGCTATAACAACACGAATTAAAATTGAAATATTTATTTTTATATTTTTATACATATTATTACTATTAATTATTATTATTATTATTATTATATTATTATTATTATATTATTATTATTATTATTATTATTATATTATTATTATTATTATTACTTCAAACATGATCTTTCGTTTATGCAAAAATTGGAGTTCTGGATTAGAATTGAAACTTCATGCCGCTTCGCCCAATCATGCAGTGAGAATGGGATATTCGGGACGACCCGACACTAGAAAACGAAAAATTGACCCAACATGGTTCTAAACCCAATGGTCTAGAGCTGGTTTAGACTTTTACAACGGATTTTTTTTAAGAGAAATGTTACAGTGTATGAATCTGAATTTTTACTTTTTATTTTTTATTAATTCTTTTTTGACTAATTATTAAAAAGAGTATTAATCAAGACTAACGAGTAAAAAATTTAGATACATACACTCGAAGGGGTATTTATCTTATTTTTTTTTAAATGAATAAAATAAACACTTCAGGTCGGTCCAAAATGATTTTGGGCCTAGAATATCATCCTAGCTCGGTCTGGATAAGGCTAAGACTAGACCAATAGTGACGGGTTTCAGACCAATCCTAAACTTGCAGTTTTATTCAGAAAAAAACTAAGAGAAAATTATAGTTTCTACCTCATTAAGTACATAATTTACCAAAAATATCTCTTTTAAAAAAACTCTACCCTTAATAGTTCTAGATTAAAAGGTAAAAATACATGGGCTAGTGTTAAGGGGTAGAAATAAAAAGGACTCCATTTCAAGGGATATTTTTAAAAAGGAAAAATACACTAAATAACATATTTTAGAAATGCTTTTAAAGTAAATAGAATGTTTTTAGAAATTTAATAAATTAATTCATGTATTAAGTTTTTATTCTGAGAAAAAATGTTAGTTGTCAAACCGCGACAATGATGAGGGATTTGCTCTGAGAGTCACGACGCGAGCTACCTCTAACCAGATCTTGGCGACGATAACGACATGATGGCGAGATGAAGTTGCTCCAAGAATCGTTACGGATTGCGCAGCTTCAGCCTCTAGAATTTTTATATTCCTTTTTATTTCTCCTCAAACGAATGGCATCTACTTTTAGAAACGTTCAACGATGCTCGGTTCTCCATGGCACCGACGGATCCCAAGTTGACTAGCTTCGTCAAGGACAAGAATGACAAAGTTTTGATGGTCAGGAATCTGAATTTGACAGGTACTTTTGTGGAGATCGGTTGTGGATCGAAGACGATGAAGCCGAGGTTTGACAGGGCAATTGATGTTAATCTGATTACATGGTTTTGAGTTTGTGATTTTTTTTTTTTAGATTTTGAATCGGGTAAATACTGTATTTATCAGTAAATACTTCATGAGTTCAAGTTTGAAGAATTTGGCAAATGATGTATTTACTAATAACTACTTCACTAAATTCAATTTCTAATTTGGTAAATACTATATTTATTAGTAAATTCTTTATTGAATAAGTTTGAATATCGTAAATGCGGTATTTACCAGTCGCCGAAGTTGGTTGCTGGATTATGGATAAATATGGTAAATATGGTATTTACCAATCGCCGGAGCCGGTCGCTGGATTATCGGATAAATATGGTATTGACTAGTAAATATGGTATTTACCGGTAAATGCAATATTTACTAGTCGCTGGAGTCGGTCGTTGGATTTTCAGATAAATATGGTAAATATAGTATTGACCAATAAATATGATATTTATGGTAAATACGGTATTTACCAGTCACCGGAGCCGGTTGTTAGATTTTCAGATAAATATGGTATTTACCAGTAAATACGGTATTACCAATCGTCAGAGCCGATCACCAAAAAACTGTTTTCGGTTGCTGAAAAATGGTTGTCAACCGCTGGTCGCCGGTTATAGTGGACTTGACTATAGGGAGAAGAAGAGAGGGGTGGAAATGAGGCTTAAGGGTATTTTTTAGTTTTTATTATTGTTTAAAACTTAAAATATAATTATGCTATAATCTACTATATCAAAAAATATGCTATAATTTATTAAACATCATACCAAAGATGCTATTTCCCTCATTTTGTTGCCCTTGGACTAATCATTAACACTTTTAGAACTTTCACGTAGGGGCGGCAATACGGGTCACGACACGACAACATGAATCGAAATCGACATGAAAATCACAGGTTAGGGTGAAGAAAAAAAGGGTGTAGGGGTTGGACCCGTACAACCCAAAATTGACCCGCAATTCAACTGCATGTCAATTTCGTGTCAATTTTATGTCCAACTAGACACGGACCCGTAGAAAAAAATTAAAAAATAAAAATAAAAATATATATACTCACTTAACAAACCCTAAATGCTGTTTTGTTTCTAACAATCTTTCTTCTTCCCTTTCTGCCGCTTCTTTCTTCTTCTTGTCCACCTCTGTTCCACCATCTCTTGTCCGTCTACCTCTCTCCACCGAATTAGAGACAGTGACTTTCTGAATTTCTGTCATCTCTTACACTCCGTCCGCTTCTTTCCATCGAAATAGAGAGACTGACTTTCTGGATTTCCGCTATCTCTTGCACTCCGTCTGACTCTTCTCAACTGCCGCTTCTTTCTTCTTCTTGTCCGCCTTTGTTCCACCATATCTTGCCCTCCGTCCGCCTCTCTCCATCAAATTTTGACCGGACAAGATAATTTATGTTCTTCACTTCTTTTCTTTTGTTTTTGTTTTTCTTCTTGCTTCCATTACTAAGGATTCGGTGCACACATATATTGAAATACATCTGATATGATTTTCTTTGTTACTATTGTGTGTGTGTGTGTGTGTTTTTTTTTTTTGTTTTGCTGAAGTTGTTTCTTGGTAAATAGATAAAGAATGCAAAAGAGTCCTCGCACATATCGGCCGAAACAAATATAGCACTTGCATAAAATGTAATGTCGTTAACTCCTCCAAATTGTTGCAACACCATCAAGCCAACTCCAACGTATCTACCACAAAAGTCTAAGTTACTAAAAAGAGGTCAACAACTAACCAAAGAAAGTAAACATGTAAAGTTATTATTTTCAAGTCTTGAAAAAGCTCAGTAAAAGTGAACGATCATATCTCCACTGGAATAGTTCAATAATGCTAGCTTCGGATAGTCGTCGAAGAGTCTCTGTGTAATCCTTTTCATAATTAGAAACAAGTATATGTTAGTGTACCTTTCAAAATTCCTTGAAAGAATAAACTTGTCCAAGATCGGACACTAGAGATATTGATCAAATGTTTATTTCTCATGATAGTAGCTTATCATTTGGTTCTTGTTGCTTTGATTCTGAAAAATGGCGTGAGTTAGTGATTACTTGTATTGTTATGCATGATTTGCCTTTCCAATTTGTTGAGTACAAAAGATTAACTACTAATGGATGGTCTATGTTTCAATATATGTATTCTAATGTGAAAATAAAAAATATGTTGGATGCATGCCTGGTAGAATAAGTTTGACATCTGATCTGTGGACTTCATTGACTACTAATGGATATTTGTGCATGACTGCTCATTTTCTTGATAAGAATTGAAAGTTGCATAAAAGAATTTTGAATTTTTATCTTATGCCACCTCCACACACTGGAATAGCACTATCTGAGAAACTATTTTCTTTACTAAGTGATTGGAGAATTGAGGAAAAGATTTTCAGTATTAGTTAGACGAGCCTAAAGTTTTATATATTTTTCTAGAATTTGATGATGTTTCAAGCGATTTGTTATATGCTTCAAATCAAAAATCACAGTTAAAAATGTATTTGGACGAGCCTAGAATGAAATGGAGTTATCAGTTGGATATTCTCTCCTATTGGAAGACAAATCAGTGCTGCTACCCAATTCTTGCTGCCATAGCCCGTGATATATTATGCATTCATGTATCAACAGTTGCTTTAGATGATGCATTTAGTGTTGGCGGTCGCGTGCTTGATCAGTTCCGTAGCTCTCTTAAACATGATACTGTTGAAGCAATTGTGTGTACAAAGTATTGGTTGTATGGAAATGAAGGTATATTTTTCAAGTTCTTTATTGTTCGGTTACTTAAATATTGTTACTCTCAGTCTCATAAATGCTAATAAGTTAAACTATTTTTCCTAGATGGATTCAAAGTACTTCATCAATATATAGAGGACTTCATCAATATATAGAGGACCTCATCAAGAATGTGGTGGATCTTAACATACATGAAGAAAAAACTATCAACCAAGCTTCTAACTCCGGATGTGCTTGAATTTGGTTTTTATTACGGTTTTGTGTAATGGTTTCTTTTGCTTCATTTGAACTATGTGGTTGTTGGGACTTTGTTATGTAGGTTTCATGTGATGTTTTCTTTTGCATGCATTTAAACTTTGCTGTTGCTGAAACTTTATTATCTAGATCTAGGCTTGGACTTTATTATCTATGCTTGGACTTTGGTGTGAGTCTTATGAACTATGTTTTCTAGTAGGATTATGGTATTTTAGGATTAGACTTGTTATCTTATTAACTTGTTTGCCTATGGTGTGACTCATTCTTTATTATTTTTGTATTGAATTTGTGGTCTTATGATGTTTTCTTATGAATTATGTGCTATGATACTTTATTAATTCGGTTCGTGTCGTGTCAACCCGCAATCTTATTGTGTCGTGTTCGTGTCACGGTTCTCAATTTTTTTCATGTCACGGGTCGTGTATGGGTTGCATAAAAAAATTGATACGGTACGAACACGACACGTGACACGAATTGTCACCTCTACTTTCACGTGATTAGAGACACGTGTCCACCAAAACTTAGCTCTTCAACTCTACTGTAGTGTAAGAACTTTGGACGGGCATACTAAAGATAATGCACTAGGAGGTAGATTTAATTTTTGTAAGAATCTAAACGAATCTTGTTCTCTTTGGTTACTACATTGAATCCATGCAATATTATCTCTAATTCTTTTAATGTGAGTAGTCATTTCTTTTAAACCGGATTTTAACTATTAAATTAATTACGTGACATACACAATGTTGGTGAAAATAGTACTATCACCGAATAAATTTAAAAATCATTTTCGAAGTACTCAATTGTTTTAGTATTTGCACTAGCATTATCTAATGTTATAGCTATTACTTTATCTCTTAATCTAAATTCATCAATTACATTTAAAATTGTATTATATATTAAATCAGCGCTATGTGATCCTAAAACACATTTAAAACCTAATATTCTTTTACCTAAATCGAATCCTTTAAAGTAATGTCCGGTTACAGCTAAATAATCTTTATTGCCAACGATAGACCAAATATATGCCGTTAACACAATGCAACCACCAAGTGTAAAAGGTTTATTTATGCTTCTTTTTTTTAAAAATAATTTTAACAAATCTTTTCTAAAATTAGTTTTTGAAGTGAATTGTACATTAGGATAATGTACAACTTTAATATATCGTTGCCAATTAGGATGCTCTACAAAACTAAGTGGTTGATCTAATGCAGCTATCATTCGCGCAACTTCCATACGATCTACTTGCAGATCGTATTTCCAAGTGGTTAGACCACCGGTTGCGTGATCAACAGATAATTGTGTTTGGCGGAGTTCGGCTCCGCCGGACTGGCTAAACTTTTGAAGACACTTTTCAGAGCGTCTTCTCAAGTGTGTTGTGTCGTGAATAGTGTGACCTTGTAATTTAGATAAACAATATTTATACTGAGTTATATGTTTAGTGTTACCATCATTGTCGATCTCCTCAATTATGTCGAAGTGATCCTAAACTATCGAGGTGCGCTTGCATTTCCTCTTGGAGGTTGCAACACTTGCAGACGCAGTAACACTTGCACTCGCCGCTTCTCCACGCCCACCACCATTGCGACCACGACCTCCAGTGCGTCCACCACGGCTCGGATTAGCAGGTTCCTCAGTTGGTAGTGTTTACGGTTCCTGCGTAATAAATTCATTAGTAGGAAATTGTCATTCTTCCACGTTGTGTTAGGCATCAACAGGAATACCACCATAACCGAAAGAATCCATTATAAAAAATAATAGCGATTTGAGAGAAAGAGCTTTAGAATATTGTGATAGTTTTTAGAAAAATTGTGAGCGAGATTTGAGAGATTAAGAGAAATTGAGAGAGATTGAGAGAAATTGAGAAGGATTGAGAGAGTTTGGGTGAGAAAAATGTGTGGAGGATGTGGGTATTTATAAGGAAATTTTTAGGTTAAAAAATTGATTTTTTCTCCAAATTCAGATCCAATAGACATTTTTTTATCTCGGCGGGTCGGGTTCGGGTCGAAAATCAGGCAACGGTCAAAAAAATAGCCATTGGAGTTGGGCAGCTAGGGAGGCAGGTTGGGTCGGGCGCCAACAGGCAAAAATATTGCCGTTGGTCGGGCTTCGGGCAAGTCGGGCCGGAGTGAAAAAATTTAAAAAAATTCCGGCGGACGGCGGTTAACGGCACTCTCTCGGCGGCGGGCTCAACGATTCGTTCATTTTCGGGCAGCCTAAGCCCAAAAATCAAACTTGGACGGGCAGCCTTATGGGCCTGCCCGCCAAGCCCGAAAAATTCGGGTTTCAGGCAGGCTACAGGCCCAAAGTTCCAGCACTGACTCTACATCCACGCGAGGTCAAAGTCTTTCCGACAGAAGGCCAAGATTGGTGATTTTGCAGAGGAGCAGAATAGCAAACGTAGTCCTTCCCGTAGCTTACACTTCCTACTTCTCCTCAGAATCAGCCCCAGAAGCAAGCAAGTAAGCAAGCAACCAGCGATTGACTGATTCACTCTCATAAACCCTAAAATTCCATTTCTTGTGTTTCTCGACTGGTCGAACAAGAAGAAGAGCCCTAACAATGGCGGAATCAGAGGCGGGATCGCGTACAGCGGGCGCATCGGAAGGCGGTGGAGGCGAGGAGAAGTCTCTGAAGGAGAAGGGCAATGAGTATTTCAAGGCAGGGAACTTTCTCAAAGCCGCTGCTCTCTACACTCAGGCCATCAAGCAAGACCCCAATAACCCCGCTTTTTATAGGTACTTTTGCTAAAAATTTCGCTCTCAATTATTGTTCTTCATTGAAAAATTTTATGTATATAAGCGAAATGGGATGTGGGGGTTTTTTTTATTTTTATTTTTGTAGTTTTGTAAGAACTTTTCACGTTTTCAATCTGTGCATTGTTTGTTAATTAAAATGAGAAATGGGAAATTTTTGAATTTGAGTTTTGTGTTGAAATTGGCTTTTTTTTTTTTTTCGTGAACTGTAGTTGTGTTTGCAATTTGGAATTGGTGGAGGTTATAGGTAGAGTGTAATTCATAATTGAAAAGCTCCCAACTTCCACTTTCAATTTACAACAGAAAGAATAAACTAGGTGATAAGAAAAATATTTTGTATCTGTTTATAGAGTGTAAGTTATCATGTTAATATACAAATCCTGGACTGCGTTTATTTGGCAGAATTTGTAATTTAATACTTTTAACTTCCTGTATGCAATTTGGAATTGGTGGTTTTATTACAATAGAAAGAAAGAATGAAAATAATAAGACCAAAGAAACTTTGAAAAATGTGAGATTAGAAACCTAGGTGGTAGCATTAGGATGCTGAAAAGAAAATCTAATTTGTGTATCTCTTTAAAATATCATGTTAAAAATACAAATCTTGGAATACAGTTGTTGGGAGAGTTTTTAGTTTAATAAATTTGACTTCCTATGAACTGAGTTGTGATTCATGAACAACGTTTATTCGTTTTGCTTGCTTGCTGGTATGAGCTGATGCTTTTTAATGTTTCATCACTGGCCAGCAATCGTGCTGCGGCGTTTCTGCAGTTGGTTAAGCTAAACAAAGCACTCGCTGATGCTGAAACAACTATTGCATTAAGCCCAAAATGGGAAAAGGTCGGCCGTTAATTTTTTTAAGATAAATCTTTTTCCTTTTGTTATGCAACTTTTACTTGAAAAGAAGCACTTATGTTTTCTTTTGTTCAGATTGTCTTCCTAAATTGTGGAAAAGTGAAATCCATATAGCCTACCCCAATTAAGATGGGATTAAGGCTTCTTGTTGTTATTGTTGTTGTTGTTGTCTTCCTAAATTGGGTTCCTATGATGTACCTATAGGGATATTTCAGGAAGGGGTGCATATTAGAGGCCATGGAACGATATGATGATGTATGCCGGGAAGTTCTGTTATCTTCTCAATTATTTTTTCTATCCTTTTGAAAAAGTGTCATAGTTTTGGTTTTTTGCTGCTGATATTTTTAGCGCTTATCTATTGTAGGCTCTCACAGCCTTCCAAACAGCTGTACAATTTAATCCACAAAGTGTTGAAGTATCAAAAAAGATAAAAAGAATTGCCCAGTTGGCAAAAAATAAAAAGCGAGCCCAAGAAGTGGAGAACATGAGATCCAATGTTGACATGGCAAAGCACTTGGACAAGTTGAAAGCAGAAATGGTAAGTGTATTTTGCAAGCAAAGGATCACGACTTTTCTGTTTTGATTTTGTTCAAGAATAGTCTGGTTACTCTGGTATGATTATGAGTTTGAACAATTGCTTACATCTTGACGTTCTGCAGCTAAGCCTTTAGGTTTACAATGTGCATGCATATTTTTCTACTAGATGCCCGTAGATGGTCTATCTTGCCATTTCTTTTTCCTCATATTTACCAGTTTTCTTACTCCCCTGAACTGTGCACTGCAGGTAAGATTTGATCCTTATATTCTCAGTGCTTTTTGTGGACGACCTGCACTAGGATTGTTTCAAGAGCTCCTAATAAATAAGAAGGAATTAATCAGTCTCTCTCTTTGCAGTCTGAGAAGTGCGGATCTGAAGAATGTTGGAAAGAAATGTTTTCTTTTCTTGTTGAGACAATGGAAACTGCTGTAAAATCTTGGCATGAAACTTCTGAGGTAGATCCTAGGGTATACTTTCTTCTTGATAAAGAAAGGACACAGACTGAAAAATATGCTCCAGCCGTGAATATTGATAAGGTATTGCCCATTCTGTCAATCAATTACAGTCCCCCTATCCTTTTGCCTTTCTTTTTGTTTATATGGCTTTATGCACAATCATTCGCGTAAGCCCCGTATAGTGTTAAGCTCATACGATAAATGCTAGCTATCAGTAATAAAGTTGTCTCTGATGCTAGTTATTAGACGATAGATGCTACTTGGATGATGCCATCATTTTTCAGCTTGTGTAATAATTCTCACTCTGAGGGAAAATATTCTTTGCTAATTTGATCCTCCTTATCACACCAGGCATTTGAATCGCCCCATACGCACAGCGATTGTTTCTCATTTCTTAGGCAGTATGCTGAGGATTCTTTCTCCAGAGCAGCGTGCTTGGTGAGCCCCAAAAGTATCATATCTTACCCACAGGTAATCTGTACTTCTTGGCTAAAGTGCACATTTACATGTTTTTTGATGTTTATAACTATAGTATACATGGGGTAGGTAATTTCACACCACGTGCTTCACTCATTGTCTAGCATAACCTATTTGGCGCACCTACTATTTTTTAACAACGTGATTATTGACTAATCTGGTTTAAATTGTCTTAAGATTTCTTTGTCTGTTGATAGGATAGGGCATAACCAGGTAATGGTATTAATGCTAGACACTCCAAATACAGGGAAAGCCAGTCGAAGTCGAAGATAGATATATCCATTACAACTCTGCATGTTTTACACCCTAACCGTTGTCCATACAAACTTAATTATAAGGCCTTAGTCAACAAAATTCAGCAGATAAATGGCTTGTGCAGTCTATTTAAACATTGATGCTGACAAAGATGTCTACTTTTCAGGTTTGGAAAGGCCAAGGACTTAGGAAGTGGAAACATGGGCTGCAGGATGGTTTCTTTGTTCAGTTTGAGACACCTGTTCTACGAAGGCTGTGGTTCATTCCTAGTTCCAATGAACAAGGCCAAACATTATGCAGGTTCTCTCTCCATCCCACCCCACCATATGTGCAAATCAAAATTTGGCAAAAAAAATGTACTGGAAATATTAGACTCTTAAATTAAGCTTAGTTTGATTTCCAATTTCTATGGACTAGATTAATTGGGCATTCAGCTTCATCTGCATTAAGGTTGTCATTGGTAGCTGCTTGCTTTTTCCATAGAATCTAAAACTTTTTGTCTTTTTCAAGGGATCCGGAGGTTCTAGACATCACTGCTCACGAGGTGCTTCCACGCCTATACAAAGAAAAGCTGTCCTTTTCTTAGGCTCCTTAACGTGGTGGGCATTTTACTGGAGAAACTGGTGGAGAATGTTTTTCAAAGAGAACAGACAGCTTAAAGTGCTTGTTTTCTTCCATACTAGTTCTTTGGAGCTGAACTAGTGGAAGGGTGCTTTGCATAGTTTCCCCATGTATGTACTCAATTTTGAAGCTTTTCTTTTTCAGAGGAATGATTTTCAGGCTTCTCTGAGTGGTTGCTTTTTGTGGACATCTCTTCTTTGTAGTTCTTTTTTTTGTAACATTCTTTTTGTATGATTTGCTTTTGCTGTTTTATGGTCATGAGTGCTTTGCCCCTGAATATTAAGTGGCGTCATTTCTTATCTTGAATTTTGCATTGCTTACAGCCAGCTTGGGAAACTGAGTTTGGATGGAATAGAACTCTAATTTCTTCTAAAACTGAGAAAAAAACAATCTCATATTCTTATATGTTAATCTATCTGCTTCAAGGTCCTAAACAGTTGATTAAATTCAAAATCATTATTTCATCTTGAAGATATTACACGAGGTGGGGGCAAGGGGAACCCGTTTACATTCCCATCAAACCCCATTTCTTCGAAATTTCGATAGAAATTACATTTACATATATCACTCTTGGGCACAAGACTTACTAATTCTTAGCACTTATAGGAATCCGACGTCCGAGGAAGTGAATGAGAAAGAAAATCCTCCTTATATATCTTCTCTCAATCATGTCAGATGTGTGGGGCTTCCTTTAAACTGTCTAAGCGATTGCCAAAAGTCAAAAAAAGTTTCATGGATCTTCTTTCATAATGGGTTCTTCATACGTTTTCATCTTGTCTATTTGATTCCTGTGCTGATACATTTGGCTTGCAGGTATGCAGCATGAAATTACATGCTGCCACAGCCTCTCCCACAGTAAGATAGATCCACTCCTGACCGATTGCATCGATGAACTTGGACTTGTCGAGCTTTTTGATCACCTCGCTTCGCGGGTTTGCTAATACAAGCTGTAGTTGCAAACAAGAAAACAAAAATCAATGGGAAGTTAGATTGTGCCCCCGTAGGAAACATGAGAAATGAAGGTAGGCAAGGCTAAAACATTCTTACCTTAAGACCCTTTCTATCGGCACTTTTCTTGGCCTCTTCAAGCATGCTAATCCCGCTCGTATCGATGCTACCCACAGCTGTGATTCGGATCACAGTATTAGGATTTAGGTTAATAGTTCTAAATTACGAGGAATCAGTTTGTTTAAGTATTTAAAATATTTATTTGTTTTCGATGGATTATTGGTACTTACAGCTAAGGTCTAGAATGACATAGTGCAAACTTGTTTCTCCTGAAGATTTTACTCTGTCTTCCTCCTCGGAGATCCACCTAGAGATCCTGCAAATAAGAATAGCAGTGAAGATTAGTGCCCGAAAAAATTGTCGAAAAGTACTAGTCTTAAACTTAGTTTTGTGTATTTTGTCTGTTTATGTACCTTTCTCTCAAGTAGTTTGAATTAGCAAAGTAAATAGGTGCATCAATTTGGAGAATGAGAACTCCAGGGATATTGTTAGCAGTTGGGTACTGATCAGTGCTTCTGTAAATCATGGAGTTAGGAATGTTGCCCAGAACGAAAGTTCTAGGCCTCGCCACAAAGAGAAGAACTCTCAACAAGGAAATTGTAACCTGCAAAACCCAACAAAGCAAAATCAGATTCCAACAATTTTTGATACTTTTTAATTGATGAATATTTCATGAAGGCAAAGGGTTTAGCTTCTGATCCCACTTACTGCAATGATCAAGCCAATCTCGACGCTGGCAAAGACAACACCGAGGTATGCGCCCATACACACAAGGAAATCAACTTTGTCTATCTTCCAGAGATGGATGGCGGATTCATAGTCGATGAGGCCAAGCATGGCGGTGATGATAATCGCGGAAAGTACCACAAGAGGCGTGTAATGGAACAAAGGCGTCAAGAACAACAGAGTGATCATCACCGCCGTGGCCATGACAATGTTGGACACTGCGGTTTTGCATCCCGCGTTGAAGTTCACCGCGCTTCTCGAAAATGGCCCTACAAATTGAACCACGCCATACTATCAGTCAGACTAAGGCCTAATTGAAAGCTCAAATCTAAACGTTTTGAAAGCGTTGTTAATTTCCTCTTCACATACCAGCGGTTAAGTAACAAGAAGTACAAGAGCCCGCAATGTTCATCATTCCGAAAGCGATCATTTCTTTGTTCCCATCAATGTGATAGTTTTTAAAAATGGCAAAACTTCTTCCAACTGCCACTCCTTCCTGCAAACCCAAATATTATGTCTTAGCCAAATCCCCATCAAAACTTACAATAACCCGGTAGCAAAAATATTTGAACTGTGATTCAAACTACGAACCAAATGGGTGTTAAATAGTTTATACGTATCCAATAAGTTTTATGCAACACATGCAACTTTTTTTTTTTTTTTGTAAATTAATAATGAAAGAAGTGACATGAGACACGTAGGTTGCGTTTGGTAGATGGATCCAAAATCATGATTCTGAATCTTGGTTCAGAATCAGTGTTTGTTTACAGTGATTCTGAATCATGATTCATCATTCAGAATCGTCTGATTTTGAATCATGATTCGGAATCTAATGTAATATTTTAAACCAGAATCACTCATGATTCTAAAACCACCCCCCTCTTGATTCAATGTGATTCAAACCCCTGATTCTGAATCATGGTTTCAGAATCATGATTTGAACCCAAAATCATGAATCATGGTTATGGTTCTAGAATCATGATTAGAATCACCCTGGTTTGAATCCTCGTACCAAACGAACCCTTAATTGAAAATTGATTTTTGGGACTACCTAGGCTGATCTCAGGCAGGGAAGTTACGAGGTTTGTAGCACATGGCCAGCTTTGTCATACGTAATACATCATATATATACATACACAAATATATATGTTGTTATAAAGGCCTTGGGAATTAGCATGGAATATAATAATATGAGTGATATATATATATATATATATATATATATATATATATGTACTCACCGCAAGACCTATAATGCCAACGACAATCCCGGTTTTAATTGCTAATGTCATATATGCTGACCCAAAAGCCAGCTCACCCACGGATAGTGGATTCAAGCCCTTTTTCAGGTTCCCAATCTGCGTACAAACAAACAAACAAAATCAATACTAATTTCACTTTTTGGTGCTTAGTTCATTTATTCTAAATACTAATTAAAAACCTCCAATTTTCTATAGTGGAGGAGGAACATACATAATAAGCATATATAAGAGAAACAAGATTTATGTGTAAAATATATATAAACCTTGGATTTTGTTAGCCTAACTTGAAACATATATTTGTTGAGTAAATATGTAATACACAAACACTTGAAAATATGATTTTGTATTAATGAATAACTTATATTGGTCGTACAGTTTGGTGGTGTACAGCCCTATATATGTTATATATGTGTGGTGGAAAACATGTGCAAATTAAGAATGCATGTGTGTGTATATACATACATATATATATACATATATATATATATATATATATAGAGAGAGAGAGAGAGAGAGCTAACTATTACCACTTGAACGCCATGTTTTTCAGCGTGGGTTAAGTAGACGAGAACACTTCCGAGAATCACAGACGTGAGAGGCGCCAAAGCGTTTATCCAGAAGAAGACTTTCTTTCTCTTGCTCTACAAAGTCATCAACATCACAAAAATCAATGAAGGCACTAACAAAAGCAATAAATTTAAAAAGGAAAACATATATACTTTTCAATATGGTCCCCTCCAATAAAGAAAATTGGCTTATTCCATTTAATGAATTGCATGAGCTTGGCCTAACACAGTGACATGCATATATAACAACTCGAAGTACGTTAATTAAATGTCATTATAAATTATTACCGAATTTGTGTTGAGAATAAGAATATCCGTTAATTCTTAGTATTTGTTCAACACAAGAAACCTACTAAACCAAAAGTTTTTTTTTTTTAATTAAATAACCTTTCCCAAGGATGATTTAGGTATAATTAATTTTTGTTACAAAGAGAAATATTATCATTATATATATATATATATATATATATATATATATACTTACAAGGTACTTTGTGAGCATGAGAAAGAAGACAAAACAGCACCCCAAAACCCCGCTTTCCCATCTCCACTGCATTATTTATCATATAAATTATAATCAATAACCAATAATTAGAAAGTATCACACATAATTGTCGATCAAATTAGATAAAAGTTATTATATATAATAAACTTAATTCCTAGAATGTAATATATAGATTATAAATGATTACCTGGTGAAGTTGGGAAAAGATAGAGTGAAGGACAGATATAAGATCAGTCTCGTGAGTGAAGTGAACCAACCCAAGCACTCCTTTCAGCTGCTGAAGACACACCACTGTCGCTGCTCCACTCATGAATCCCACAATTGTCGCGTGCGACAAGAAGTCCACGACAAACCCAAGTCTGCACCCAAAAAAAAAAAAAAACCCATGTCAGAATTACAAAAATTATAACATGTCAATATTGATCTCCTCAATTTGGTTCTTTATAAAATAATAATAATAATAATAAAGAAGTATATATGCAAAAATAAATAAATAAATATTTTATAACGTTATCAGTAGATGCCAATCTAATTAGGATGTACTAGTTTTCTTTCGATGTTAACTGTTACTTCTCAGAGTTTATAATATATGTAAGTACCTTAAGAATCCGAGCAAAGCCTGAAAGACGCCGGCGAAGAAAGTGGCGGTCATGGCCAACTGAAGGTAGAGCTTGGGGTTTTCGGTAGGGCTAACTTCCTTCCCCAACATGGAAGCTATGAGAAGAGACCCAACAGCCACAGTCCCCACTGCCAAATCCCTGGAGCTTCCCAGCATGGCGTACACCAATGGTGGGACAAAGCTAGAATCTGCATTTTTTTTTTCCATCGTTACATATTATCATCACACATTCCAATGACAAATTATGATTACCATCCAAACTATAAACAGTTTTTCTTCATAGAATTAAATTCACACCAATAATGGGGTTAGAAAAGTAAAATAAAATAAAAAAGCAAAACCCACACGTTGCATATGCACTGCTTAATCATGAGTTAATCCAATCTTAAAAAACATGAACTATTAGTAGGTGTTTAGTGGTACAATACATACATATATATATATATATTCGGAATATTGCCGGTATAGCTAGGGAGAGAATAAAAATATTTTCTTGCTAAAATTAAATCCATTCTAATTAGTTATTGCTAGGGGAAAAAAACGTTTTTAGACCTCAGATTTTCATAGTACGATTCATATAATTATGAGATAATTCAATCTTGAAAAACATGTATTGTTAGTAGGTATTCTTTAGTATCAGAAAATCATCCTTTATTTTTTAAAAAATTTTGGCAGTATAACAGTAATTAACGTTAGATCATATCAGAATCATATAATACCGTATTTAGCACTGTAAAATGTATATATATATATATATATATATATATATATATATATATATATTTATATGATAGGGATACTTACAAAGGCCAATAATAGGAGGCAAGTTGGCCAAATTAGCATAACTGATCCCTTGAGGAACAGCAAGACTGGCGATAGTGATCCCAGCAATAAGGTCAGCTTTGAAGAAGCTAAAAGTGTAGCGAGGAGCCCATTCCAGGATCGGCACAAAGTACTGCAACCCCAGAACAAGCCTTCTAAGCCCCGACTGGTTCTTGAACTGCCTGAAAGGATCATCAGGAAAGAAAGTCTCCTTCAAAGACGCCTTCAACGCCTTCGAGAACGGCTTCGTCGGAGGAATCGCCACCCGGTGAGGGCAATACTCATTATAAGTATTGTCCCCGTTTCCCTTCTCTTGCACCATGTCCAACCAAGTATATATAATATATATATATATATATATATATATATGTGTGTGTGCTTGAAGTTGTTATATATATATATATATAACTAGTTTTGTATATATGTGGAAGTGATGAAGAATTTAGGGATTTTTATGTGTTTATTCTAGCTAGCTTTGCATGCTTTTGGCAATGGAGCTGTGTATAGCTAGAGAGATTTTGTAGTTGTGAGGTGAGAGGTTCAAGGAGAGGAGTGGCTTTATATAAAGGTGGTGAGGAAGGGGCGTGACTTATTAATTATTATGAGGGTTCTCATGTGTTATTAACTTAAATCTAAGTGCTTAGTGGGACGCACACGTTGAGATGGCATGTGGCGTGTTGACAAGCCCTTGACCATCCCAAACTTGGTGTGATACAAATTTTTAGACCGTTTAGTTCGCTGATTCAAATTTTTAATTCGAGTTGATATGTGACTTTATGTGAAAGCTTTTTATTGTAGTAAAAAAGTTAGATGTGATTATTTCTGATAGCTTTTTACTGAAGCAAAACTCAAATTCTAAATTCGAATCGGTGAAATGAACGAGCATAAATTTGTTTTCATGAATTAATTCCACCTTGAATTTTAGAGGGGTCTAATTAATTGTACATTGGGCCAAAAAAAAAAAAAAAGCTGATAATATGATTTTGCCTTTCACATCAATCAGGGAGCAAAAATTTGCAATATTGTAAGTTTATGGCCTACCATATATGAGCACAATATGGCATGAAGTGTATGTGGATCACTCTGATTGGCTGGAGAAAGCAAGTTGTTGTAAGTCGGCATGAAAATTTGGGGGAATTTGGGGGATTTAGAGAGAGTATTCCTTGGATGAATATTAATCTCTAGTTAGGCCGTTTTGATTAAACCCTTGTAGCTAATATTGAGTTTAGATAATTTGTATGTGAAAACTAGATAGCTGCTTGGGGCTTTTTTAATGAATTGAGCTCATATATTCCTTTATTCGTGTCCTTTTTAGTATCCTTAATAAGATTGTGACACGTTAGTTAACTACCATGACTTTTTAATTGACATGATATAAAATTTTAAGTGACGTGACATGATATTATTAAATAGATACATAAAAGAAAAACCGAATAAGGAGACACAAAAGTCGAATTCCTTTTTAATTCTTATAATTGACCGATGAAGTTATTTTAGGGTGCTGGACTAATTACTAATTAAGGGTCTATTTAGTACGATGATTCGAGTTTTTAATTCTAATTGAGATGTGACTTTATGTGAGAACTTTTTACTATAACAAAAAAGTTAGATGTGACTGTTTCTGAGAGCTTTTTACTGTAACAAAACTCGAATCGGTGAAATGAACGAGACCTAAGATTATTTTTGGCCAAACAAGGCCTACCCAATATCTATAGTTCAATGAATGGTCAATCTTGTTGCCATATATAGAAGGAACAATAAGAGAAGTTGAAGTTTCCTTTTCTTTATTTTTCTATTATTATATTTTTCGCTTTAATAAGAGAATATTGACATGTGAACAATTGTTGTACGTCTTTTAACGGAGAGGCCAAAGTCGGTGTGGAAATAACTTTTGGAGTAGGCAATTGTGCTTCACTCGATTAGCAATCTCAAGAATATTCAAGACCTATATCATTATCTTATATTAGGTGTGGGAATATTCTGGCGTATGGGTCTTTACAATGTCAACTCTCTATAGGATTAGATTATCCAAAGAGGTTTTCATCAAGAAGAGTGTTATCCCCTTAGAATTTTTCACAAAATTAAGGACCCAATTTTGGTTAATTAGCTATTCTTATGTGGTGTGGAAGGTTTATTAATGGTTTGATTTCTATACATTTTGTGGGTCCAAAATCATAGTTTCTTCTACTAACTATTAGGATAGAACTAAAATTGATGACCCTTTTATTTAAGGGATAATTTGATCACACTTTTTTTTAGGGAAATTTGACCACATTTTTCGGCCTTCTTTTTACTATTATTCTTATATAACTAGAAACTATTATCATTAAAATAAAACATACAGTACAATAACAGTTTTTATAAATAGAGGAGAGTCCGCAAATTAAATGAGTTTATCATCTATATTAAAGTATAAAAAGTTAAAGATTAGTTATTAAATACGTCACAAAATTGAACTTGACACGTCTGACAATCAAATATCAAACTAATTATAACCAAAAGTATCAGTTTTTAGTGCTTCTACAATAGTCAGTGATAAAAAAGGCATTGGACCTTTTTTTTTTTTTTATATATATATAGAAACGTCTTGAAATTACCTTTTTGTTTTTTGGAATTTGAAAATAGCTGTTTTTGAATTGTGGTGATGACGTCTACGATTTTCATTTCTTTCCTACATATGGATAGTTGCCGTTTTTAAGGCTCTATTTAATAGGAGAGACGGAGATTAAGAAAGATGAAAAGGATTATAGAGATGAGAATATGAATGATAGAAAAAATTACAATAATTTTTTTATTATTTAGTAAAAAAAGGAAGAATTAAAAGGATAGATCTCCGTTCATTTCGCTGATTCGAGTTTTTAATTCGAGTTGAGATGTGATTTTATGTGAGAGCTTTTTACTGTAGTAAAAAAGTTAGATGTGATTGTTTGTGAGAACTTTTTACTGTAGCAAAACTCGAATTATAAACTCAAATCAGCGAAATGAACGAGGTCTTCATGAATCCCCCAATAAGTGAAAGGATTAACTTTGTGGCCCCAAGAGGAAACCTCATTCCTCCATGGCACCCTTTCTTCCTCTCCTTCCTTCAACCAAACAAGTGATTAGTCATCTCCCTCCACTCCTCTCCGGCTCTCCATCTGTCCATCCAACTCTCTTAAGGTCCGCATCGCATGTGTGATCTAAATGAAATAAAAATACAATAATATCTAATTGAAAGGCATTTCATGTTCTTCTCAACTTCTCAAAAAGGAAAAAAAAAAAAAAAAAGATTTCATGCTTCATGACTTTAACTTTAATGAGTTTTCAATGTTTATGTTTTTAGAAGTGATAATCTAACAAATATAAAAATTATTTTAATAATATGACGTGATAAGAATTTAATCTCATTAATAATTATTTTTTTGTTAACTATCTAATTTATTACATTCTTTTAATCAATATTTTATGGTTAAAATAATAATACATATTAATAAGTAAATATTAAAATAACCATTAAAATCATTTAAACTGTCCATTGCATAGTGGAATCAAACGTAAAATTACTCTTAAATTATACCTCCAATCATTAGAAATGTAATATTATTCTCCCATATAAAAACACACACTATAGATATTATTATAATATAATATTACCACTTTTCACAGCATTCTAGATCTACTGGATAAATAGTAAACCCAGATCAAAACATAAAAAACACGTTCGTGATATACATATATATATATATATATATATTTATATATATAACATGGCTGTCATTAAGAAGGTTCCTCTATGGAAGGCCGCGCGTGTACAATAGAAACACGTCAAAATGTTGTGATTTAGTGTGTATCATGTGGAACGTGTTTACCATGTATCTCACAGAAGCTACTTTTTGAATATTCGTTTAAGAATATGACCACACAGTAGATATGTACAAGATTTATTTTGACCTTACGAGACAAGATTACTTTTTTCCTTATTTTTCCATCCACAATCATGACCATGAAGAAATTAACTAAAACAATTGCGAATACCTTAATATATAGCCATTGATGCACTAACCAAATTCGTCATATTATTGTTGGTGAAAAACGTTATCTCCCTGTTAATACTGTGACGTAGGGGTGGTAATTCGTGTTGACGGGTCGTGTTTATGTCGTGTTGACTGCTTCAGTTGATACGAATAGGTTTGACACAAACACAACCCATTTATTAATCGTGTCGAAATACAAAACCCAAAAACGACTTGTATATTGACGGGTTGACACGACATGAATAACCCGTTTATTAAACAGCTCATAAACGTATCGTGTCAACCCGTTGATTACCTGTCAACCCGTTTATAAAATGGGTGATAAATGGGTCATGTTAACCTATTTCTGAATCTATTTTTGAACATGTTTATAAAATAGGTGATAAATTGGTCGTGTTAACCTATTTCTAAACTTATTTTTGAACTTGTTTATAAAATGGGTAATAAACGGGTTGTGTATTTGTGTTACCCAAATATGACACGTTTAATAAACGGGTTATGGCGAATCAATTGTAAGTTGGTAGGTCAACCTACAAATGACACATTATTTAATCGTGTTTCACATATTCGACCTGATTTTGACCCGTACCTATTTTTGATAAACTCAAACCCGTTAATTTCATGCGGGTTTCAAGTCGTGTCATCGTGTTGCTGCCCGGATTGCCAGCCTTATTGTAACTTGATCTACGCGGTAGTGTGTATAATATGAAAGTTGTATATATGATAACCAATTAATCTTTTTTCCCCGTGAAATTGTTTTATAAATTCAAGTGATATTTTTTGCTCCCCAGAGCAAAGACTGGTCTCATAACCTATGTACCGTTTGTGTATCTAGACACACACACACACATATACATATTTGTATGTATGAGTGTATCTATATGTCTGTATGTCACACACCTACGCCAACAAGTCTATAAACTTGAGGAGGAATAAAAAATAAAATATAAATAAATAAATAAATAAATAAACTTATTGCTGTCTAGCTGTCTTCATTCATTTAATTCAATTATAATTTGTTGAATGTAAGAAATTCTAACGTGGAAGCATAAGCAATATTCTTATTAATATTTCATATCTATTATCAATCTTGATATGGCTGAAATTTATATATATATAGGTGTCGTACGTCATATAAGCATTATTTTAAAGTAGCTGTGGAGTAGCATTTTCGCCTACTAATTAAAATTAATGTGTTTATATTCTACACTCTTTGAGATCAGCATATGATTGTTTGGAAATTTATTAGGAAAATCAAATTCAAGGCCGTTTACTGTACTTAGTTCATCCACACAGGACATTTTGCTGAATTATGATGAGCGATATTCTGTAAGGTGACGTTTAATTTTATAGAATAGAATTAGAATATAAAAAATAAAAGGAACATAATAGAATTAAATTAGTAAAATGTTTATTATAAATTTTTAGTTGGAAATTGGAATTAATACTGAAAATGTGATTTTTATGTTTGGTTGGTTAATTATCCAATGAAATAAAATA